GTTTACCACAACCCATGGCGGGAGGTTGGTGGCTCCTGCAGTTGAGGTGTTTGTGTCACGTTCCCAGGGATTACAATAGCCGAAGTCTGATAAGCCAGTCCAGGGTCAGAGATATCAAGAATGCAAAGCCAAAGTCCAGAAACCAACTTACAGAATGAAGTCCAATGTCAAAGTCCAGGATCTGATACAAAGTGTAATTCAGGGTCAGAGTCCAGAGTTCAGAGTCCAATACTAGCGTAGTCCAGGGCCAAAGTCCAGAGTCCAATACCAGCGCAGTCCAGGGTCAAAGTCTGGGGTTCAGAGACAGGAACACGATGCAAGAAACGTGGATGCAAGCCAAGGTTTTGACTCCTCGCTTCCACGAAGTTTCTGGCTTCACTGGAAGCTTGTTTTATAATGAAACAGCTCCTTGAGCTGCTGGAAAGCTTTCTATTCTGCTAATACTCAGGACTAGACGAACGTAGGTCTCTGTGGAAAGCCTTTGAGCGATCCTCTGATCTTCTTGTCCTAAGTCTTTCCGGAAGCCTGCCCCGAAGCCTGTCTGCTGTGGAGGGAGAATCTGGAGGCAGTTCAGGTGTTTCTGATCTCTCCACATTCTCTTCAGCCACAGTTAACCCTTCTGGGTCCAGGAAACACTCATGACAGTTTGCCAAGAAAATAGTGCCCCAAATAACACATGAGGCAGAGATATAGGGATATACAAAGGCTCACACTGAAGAAGTGATCCAAAATGCTTTTATTCAATCTCTTCTAACTGTCCCTCACAACACACCCTCTGCATATCTGAGGGCCAAAGTAGGACTGATTCCAATTGAAACACATTCTCATATTGCGCCGGCCATGTATTGGCTGAAATTGGCCAGTATGGATGATTCTCGCCTTCCTAGGAAGTGCTACACAGAACAGCTTCAGAATCCATCTCGAAAATTCTGGGTGAATTTAGTTAGACCCATTTTGCAGAACTATGGGATTTGACACAAACTCTCTTCCTACCTTTGTTTCAAATAGAGCTAAGCATCTGGTTAAAAAAAATCTGTCTTTACTCTAAGAGGCAGGATATCTGTGCCATCTCAGAAATGTCCTATTCTTGTTGGCTTCCTTTGCATAAAACATCATTCTGTTCGGAGGACTACTTTGTTAATTTAACCTCAGCCCCTTTAAGAAAACTGTTTACAGTTCTGCGCTTTCAGTGTATGGCAACATACACTGAAAGAGCAGAACTGTAAATGCTATTAGTAGGAAGATATGAAAATGTTCCTTTTTATCAAAGACTTTGTATATGTGGATCAGGAGAAGTTGAAGATGTTTCTCATTATTTGTTAAGATGTCCTCTATAAGATCACCCCAGGAGCAAATTCCTTGCAGGCAGAACCTTGTGTGACAGCCCTCCTTTGGCTCAACTTTGTATGCTGCTTGTGGGCAGGGATGTAATTACTACCCATCAAGTAGCAAAATTTGCCCTGGCAGCAAAGAAGATTCATGCCAAGCAACAAAAATCCTAAATCTTTCTTTTTAAGTGAAATTGTGATATGACAGTGCCACATATGTTTGATGCTGTCATTGATATATTGCGATGACCAATGGTTTTAAGCAATCAACCAATAAAGTAAAGTAAAGTTCCACCCCAGCAGCATCACCATCTTGCACTGGTATTGTAAAGTCCTGTGTGCTCATCTATTATTCCCAGACAATTAGATTGTCCTTTACTGGAATGATTATAGTATTTTTTCCTTTTTTAATTTCATTGTTCAGAATTCTGTTCTGTGTTTGAAGAACTATAGGGACAAAGATGGTGGAAAAAAACTAGTTGCATCACTTATTTTTATTTCTGTTCTTAGAATCATGATGTTGGCTTGTACCTGAGAAAATGTCAATGGCACGCCTAGAAAAACTGTATGTCAAAGCAGGCTAGTTTTGTTATGAGCTTAACATGTCTCAATTAATTTTTCATTTACTGTAAGCCAAATGATAAATGATAGTAATTGGTATGAAATTCCATATGGTGATATTTCAAGCTGAAAAAAAAATTAATTGATGCTTTTTGTTCCTAATGCTCATAACACACCATCGGTGTGCATAGTGTTTATAGTATGAGATTTCAGTCTCTTATCTTTATACTTTAAAGAAAAATAAGATAGCAAGGAATAAGAAGAACGGAAAAGAAAAGTCCTGTGAAGTCTGAAAGACATGCATTTACACATGGATTACAGTACAACACATTTTGCTTACAGTGATAGGATTAAAGTCAGAAGAAAAAGGAATAGATTGTAAACAGCAAAACATATATTAGTTATTTTGAGGGCACTGATTTTGGAAGTATAATTTAAAGACGTGGTCTTTAGATAGTTTAGAAAATTAAGTGCTAGTGAAGTTGTTTGGTTCATTTTTTTTACATGACAGGATAAATCCTACAGAAGAAAAACAACTCTGTGAATATGGCAGCCGTTTTTGTAGCATATACAGAAGAAATCCTACAGTATGTGAGTGGGTGGGGAAAAGCCATATCATATTATGGTTACCTCTAAAAGTAAATGAGGATTTCTCATGTGCAAGTTTTCATATTTTAAGAACACCCAAAGTTCATCAAAGTATATAATAAGTTTGTAAAATACAAAAAGTTCAATATTGCAACACCCAAATTACATTCTGAGTGCCCTTCAGGGGCCTAAATGTATCAGGGGCAGGGAAAATGTTGATGGGGGGATCAATAACTCATTTCATTGTCTAGAAAGAAAATATTCACATTGAATGCCAATTTTTTGTTAACTACGTAGCACAGTTGAGAGCTGGCCTTATAAAACATTATGATTTAGCTATCACTGAGCATCCTTAAGTCAAAGAAAACGGGATTCTGGTCTCACATGAGTCAATATAATAGATTTTTAGACATTATTAAATAAGGCCCAAATAGACATTAAATCTGCATGACTGTAAGTCTAGCAGTTAAATGTGTGGTTGGCTTGCAAGTGCTTTGATGACAGTTGGCCTCTGCTTCAACTGCCCTGTTCCAGAATATTTTTGTTAATCTGGGAATTCCTGCTCTATTTTGAAAAAAAGTTATTTCATGACTTCACATACAGTCAAAGATGGTAAGTAAATGCAAAGATTTGTGCTTGTATTGTAAGCGAAATTGCTTCCACAACAGAATCTCTTGGTTCCTTTTCTAAAATACAGTAGCTTGAAGTGAAATTAAAATGGAGGTTCCACTAGTACATTATATACTAATGCAGTACCAAAGGAAAGAAAAAAGAACTTTAATTATTTATTTCTTCTCATTTTGCCTTTTCTTTTTCAAGGCTAATAATACTGTGAATAATGTTACAGCACTGTTTAACAGAAAAAAAGTTAAAAGACAGAGAAATGGCAATAGTAATTATGCTCCCTTCACTCTGGATAGGAAGGGGGAAAGGAACAATTTAGAGAGATTATTCAGAGAACAAACAGAGGCTGTTCATCATTAATCCACAATCACGTTATAAATGACCTACCCCCAAGTAACAAGAAGCAATAAAATGATGTTGCAAATAGCAAGTGTTTAATTTAAAATTACAATGGCCTAAAAAGTGTTTATAGTTCTTTGCCTGTCCACAAGGGTCAGGGTTAGAGATGGGGCTATTTGTATTCATATACAACTATCCCCACACAAGTGGCGTTAACGAAGGTCCAGCCCCATGGGGCCAGATGGTCCACTCACTGAACTGCTGCAGACGTGGATGGCACGATTCTACGAATGGCTCCGTAGCGCACAATCCACTCGCCACTCCTGGCAGGAGGCGGGAGGACAAGCCTCACTGTAAGGTCGAAGACTGGCAAACGGATTGTGTGTTGTGGAGCCATTTGTAGAATCACGCCGTCCACATCTGTGGCTTATCAGTGAGTGGACTGTCCGGTCCCATGGGGCTGGACTCTCATTAACGTCACCTGTGCAGGGATATTCATATTTGTATACAAACACCCCCATCTCTATTCAGCGTTAGATTCAATTATGTTTTACCTCCAAAAACCTATTATAAATTAGTTTGGGGGAGTGACGACAGAAGGATTATTCAGAAAATACTGGAATTCAACAGGTAAAAATAACATCATATGGATGCTCCAGTGATTTAATCCCAGATTACAAGTAATACAATATATAATTTATTAAATATAAATATCACAAGGTTTTATAAAACTAACCGCACCCTAAGCTAATATTTTAAAAGAACTAATATTTCCAAATTCACTTTATATGTTGACTTTTGAATAGGAAATCAACTTGTTTCATTAAAGGCTCAATCTGCACCAAAAGAATTAGAGATAAGAAAAACAAAAGGAGCTTGTAATTGCTGGCTATTTTTGAGAATTAAACTGATGGCCTTTTTAGCATTCTCTAGTGACATATTAATAATATGTCTTGCAATAGCACTTCCATTTGTAAATCTCTCCAAACATGAATGCACTTACAATAACATTGCAAAATCTGTAAAGCACAGTTGGAATTTAGAGCTAGTTTTCCAGAACTACTGAAAACACAATCTGTGAAAGAACTGTGCTTCAAGTAGCCAGTGCTGTGACCCATTTGTGGCCTTATTCATTTTATGCAAAAGCCTGTTCAATAAAACATTTTAAAAGCTTTGAAAAGTTTTTAATACTTATCAGCATTAAAGAACTGTGAGATCATGCTGTCTCCACACTGAATCAAGATCTACTGTAAAATTTCTAATCTAGTCAAAGAATACTTTGCACGGTTAAGCAAAGTACAAACACACATCCTGACAAGATTTGATTTATAATTTGGGCTCTTCAGGTTTATTGAGTGAAATATTGTATGTAAACATCATTTGATAAAGGGAATGAATAATGTGTTAGTCACTTTATTTATCAGGTTAACAAATGTCATAAGAGTATCAAGAAAAGAGTTTATATGTGCATCAGAATGAAGTAGCTACCTAAATACACGTGTCTTCCGTAGATAATTCTATGTGGACTTATTTTTACACAGCTGATTTTTTTCATTACAGGCCTCCAGGTGGTTTTAAATTCCATTATCAAGGCCATGGTTCCTTTGTTGCACATTGCCCTGCTGGTGCTGTTTGTCATAATTATCTATGCCATCATTGGACTTGAGCTTTTCATGGGAAAGATGCACAAGACTTGTTATGTAACGGGAATCTTATCAGGTAAAGGATATGCTATACTTTGTAGCACTACTGTATTTGGTATCAGTAAAAGTGGGAATGTCTTGTGTTTTGATTTAATGATTTAACAGCTGCTTGCAAATAAGATAGTTCAAGCAACAGTCATTTGACATTAGCTCTGCTTCCTTAAGCAATTTTCATAGATACCAGACATTCTAAGTATAGAAGGGAGAAAAGGCATCCCTATCATGTTCATAAATCAAAGGTGGTTTAACAGTTACAGGTCTTTTATTTTTTCTGAGTGAAGAGTAGATCGCTATAATGAGAGTTTGACAGACCATTTGTAAAAGTCTGCAATATTCTCCTGTGTGACTGCAGAGAGATTTCTTCTTGTCTCCCTTTTAGCTTAGTTGAGACATAAAGATCACTTTCTGCCATTTGAACCTGCTTGCCAATTGAGATGATCTCCAAAGACTATTCTGTATGTGGCATACAGATACACACACAGAGAGAGAGACAGACAGACAGACAGACAGAGATTTTCTGTAGTTGAGAAGAATTGTCTAGAAAAGGCCTTTGGAATTCTCGTCCTGAATTTTTTATCTAGTATTTTCATTTTATGTCTTATACCTGTCTTATACCCTTGTTGTGTATGCCAAAAGGTAGTATTTTGCAAGTAACCTCTTTGCTTGCAATGCATTACTTTTAAACTTTAGCAGAATCTTGATTTACTAAATAGGGGCTCTTGCTTGTTTAGAATAATTCAATGGACTATCAGAAGACGATACCAGCAAGAGCATGGCAACTGTTAAGAGAACACCTTTGGATTTAAAGTAACACATACTTTGAATTTAAAGCAATATGGAACAAATTCTCCTTCACTGGAGATTTTTAAGCTGAGATTTGATGGCCAGTTATCAGGGATGCTTTGGCTGCGAATTTCCTGCATTGGCAGGGGGATTGACTCAATGGCCCTTTCTTCATAGAACATGGTTTCCAAACCACTTACCATTCTGGTTGTCTTTCTCTGGATATGTTTGGGCTTCTTAAACTTCTTGAACCTTGTGCTCCACAAAGTACAGGCTGTGTATAAATGTAATGAACAAACAGGACGTACAACAAAATGTACAGTGTGGGATGGTCTTGTTCAGGAGTCAAGTTACCATATTTTTCCGTGTATAAAACTATACTTTTGTCTAAAATCTTTAGACTAAAAACTGAGGGTCGTCCTATACATGGAAGAAGCTGAGGAGAGAACAAAAACAAGTGGAGGGGGGAAGCAGGGATCAAAGCGATTCTGCAGCGCTTTTATCCCTTTCCCCCTACACTTGCTAAGCCCCACTTAGATTTCTGAATTTTGGATTAGAAAAATGGGGGTGTCTTATACATGGGGGTGTCTTATACATGTAAAAATATGGTAACTTATTTTATTCCCTATCTTCTCATCCTCCAGTTGCCCCCACCAGTCCACCAGCATTTTGTGACTATTGGACATACTTGGTCCACATTGTGTTATTTATGGTTCTTCCCCTAGGTATTTTTGTGTTTCTGTTAATCTTTGGATTTTCCCTGCTAATATATTCATTTTCTATGTGGATGGTGTTGTTAATAATATTTTAAAAAGCCATATAGTAGAGGAAAATATACTAAATCATTGTTGGTGACTTGTCACAACTGAAAACAAATAACTTAGTTGCACCAATTTTAACAATTCTATTTTTCTTGCTTGCTTCTGTTGTCTAAGATACACCTGCAGAAGAGGAACCCTCTCCATGTGCACCTGCCTATGCACATGGGCGGCAGTGTCAGAATGGAAGTGACTGTAGACCAGGATGGGAAGGTCCCAAGCATGGCATTACCAACTTTGACAACTTTGCCTTTGCCATGTTAACTGTCTTTCAATGCATCACCATGGAGGGCTGGACCGATGTACTGTATTGGGTATGTATGTGAAATCAGTCTTATGACAAGAAAGATGCAATACTTTTCAATCTTATTTCAAATCTAACACTGACATTGCAATCTAGCTGTGCTACTCATTGACGATGTGAAGTCACTGTATCTCAAATTAATGCTGTACACTAAATGACACTTTTCACTGTTAGGTGCTTCTCCCTTCAACATCAACCTTATATTCACATTTATTTATTTATTTATTTATTTATTTATTTATTTATTTATTTAGTTAGTTAGTTAGTTAGTTAGTTAGTTAGTTAGTTAGTTAGTTAGTTAGTTAGTTAGTTAGTTATTTATTTATTTATTTGCTTTTGCTGATCATTATATTAAGGACAGGCAGCTTTTGCATATGAAGTATCCTGTACAATTCCAAATTAATAAGGCAGCACAATTTCTTACTAACCAAAGAACCACATTTCACAATCATTTTACTATTATCAGAAGCCATGATCATATTAAACGATTTGGGTGTTAAACTAATTAGTCTTCTTCTGACACAGAAGGATGAAATTTAATAAGCAGTAGTCAAAGTCAATCCAATTATATATTTTTACATTTTTAAATGTATAATTTTTCAAAACATCTGAAACCAGCACATTTTAATCTCTCCTTCAAAACAAAATCATGCAGTCTTTGTCATAACAGTGGTCAGCAGGCTAGCACAATGCAAACCAAGGCACAAATGGGGACAGGCAATAATGTATTAATGCTTGCAAAATTCAAACCACATTTATTGGTACACACAGAAAGGTCACAAAGTGAAAAGAAAACTCTAGGCTGGCATCAGTGAAGCAATATTGGCTATAACTAAGCCTTTAAAGGTGGAAAATTATCTTAGATTTTTTTAAACAATTCCAAAAAAGAGTATTCTAAAAAGCAAAAAAAGCAAAGAGTGCTGCTTATATACCGCCTCATAGTGCTTCGAGCACTATGGTTTACAAGTTAATTATGCAGGCTACACATTGCCCCCCCCCCAGCAAGCTGGGTACTCATTTTACTGACCTCGGAAGGATAGAAGGCTGAGTCAACCTTGAGCCGCTACCTGGGATTGAACCCCAGGTTGTGAGCACAGTTTTGGCTGCAGTACAGCAGTTTAACCACTGTGCTAAGCCACCCGTCCCTATGTATACAATTTTCATCATTCCAGAAATTTAGAATTGAAAGGTACTCTATGGATTATCAAGTCTAGGCCCTATCAAGGATGCACAGTGGGGAATTGAATTCCCAACCTCTGGCTCCATGGTCAAATGTTAAGAAATGTGGAGAATTGTTAAATCTAAACTTGCACAGCAGGCAGTGCTGGTGGTTTTCGATGGTGAGCTGTTTTATGATTTCTCTTGCATCTTGAGTGATATGTAAAGAATTTTCTGAATCTCACTTGCTTTCCTGACATAGATGTTGTAGACTTATATTGGAAAAGGTGCATTATTAAACTTTGAAAAAGACATACTGATTTTCAGAGATAAAACTTAAAATAAAATTTGTTAGCATTAACAAATAGGAATTTACAAACCAAGCTGCAAGGGGGCAGGTTGGCTACAGTAAGAAAATGACCACACAAAACACCACAATTGGCCACAATTTTATTTGTTATATTACCCAGCATGATGAATGGATCCCACTATCAGCTGACCTTCTACCAATTGATGCAACCCCCCTGGCAGCAGCTTGCTAGATGGATAACCCAGGATAACAGGATATGGGGTCTACCACATGGAAGCAAGCTACTATGTGACCCCTGTGAATGAAGAGAGAGTACCATGTCCTGAAGTTGGGCATATTCCTGTTGCCTTCACCCCCAAAATCTCTTAAGATGATTGCTATCCAAGGAATGGCATGAACATGCTGACCCTCTCTTCTTCCAGTCAAATCTATCATCATGCCCAAATCAGCTCAAGAGGTGGGTGGAAGACTCGGTTGCCTCTCACCAAAGCTACTGCAGCTGCAACCAGTCTAACAGCTCACCCAACACATCATGCAACCAAATGTTCTGCCTCCAGTTCAACAAGTGCACCCCATCTGACTGTTAGGAGGTGGCCATTCTAAATGTGCCAAGGTTGGCCACCAAGGTTCAACACAAATTGACACACTGTACTCATGATCTTCTTTCATGCCACAATGATTCTTTCCGGGCTTGAAGGTCCTTTGTCAGTTCTTCCTCTTGAGCTAATTTGCCCAGCAAATGGCCATGTAAAGGGGGGGGGGGGGACTACAAGGCACAGATTCCATAAATGCCCACCCCTGCAATACAATCATTCTCCCCCAGCTGAGTGACAGCTGGAGGGCTATATTGCCACCTCACTGAAACAACAGAACCATGAACCCCTGGAGCTTTTGTACTTATGGGCCTCCCATTGATATAAGTGGTTCTTCATCGTGGTCTTCTGTGAATACACACATAAAGGGTTAAGTCAGCGCCAGCGTCGTTCCCTTTCGGAATTTTCTAGAGCTCTGCAAAGGAAACATAGTTTAACATTACCTACACTGCGCATGCTCCGCCCGCCCAAGCCCCAGTTCCATTTCTCCACCGTGCGAAGTGGTTCCTCTCGGCTTAGCTCTGCTAAATTTTCCCTTTTCGTATCGTTTTTTCTTCGCTTGATGTTTCTTCTGGTTTGATCTTGGATCGTCTACGGACATTGCTATCTCTCTGCGGAATGGTTGGGCATTTTTCTCCCCTTCCCACCCACCCTTCTTTTTCCCGCCCTTTTTACCGGCCGTCTCCTGGTCCCTGTGGTTCCTGCCTATGCCCCCTCCACCCTCCGGACCCTTTAGCTGGTGTGTCGTTTGCTTGGGCAAGATCCCTTTTCAGGACGGCACGATACGTGTCTTTTTTGTCTGGGTGAATCACACTCTCCCCAGACTTGTAGACATTGCCAAGCGTTCACTAAGGCCGCCTTGAAAGCCAGGCAGCAGCGGCTTAAGCTTCACTTTTGGGACTCCACCTTATCAGCTTCCAACCCATCGGCGATGGAGCTTCCATCTATCGCTCCTGCGCCTGAACCCCAGACTATTTCTAATCAATCTGAGTCTGAGGTTTCAGGGGCGGCTGTCGCTAAACCGCCTAGGAAACCAGCGAAAAAACCTTCTTCCTCCAAGGATGGATCTGTCAAGCGTCCAAAGAAGGCTAAACAACTTTCAAAAAGCAAGTTCTCCACTGACTACGTGGACGCTGTCGGGACTTCTCTTCCTTCGCCCATCTTAGAGGATACGTCCCGCGATGTTGAGTCTGTGTCAGAGGCAGCGACTTCGCTCCCTCCACGACAGCCTGAGCCTGTGTTACCCCTTGGCGTGCAGTCTCCGACGTCAAGTCAGCTTGTCCTGGCAACTAGAAGCTTGGGTATAGCCCATTTCAGCCCTGTTTTCACCGGGTGGGCGTCTTTGGCTCATTCCGTCTCTCCGTCACTGTCGAGAGCAGGTTCGCCGCCGGCGAAAAAGGCGGAAAAAACAAAGCATATTTCCAAGGACCGACGTCGAGCTGCTCATAAGGAGCACGGGGATCGTCATTGAAAGTCTTGGCGCCGACGTTGGTCTCCCTCGGATGAATCCACATCCTCCAGCTCCCGCGGTAGAAAGCATAGACGACGTCGGAGACGCGACTCCTCCTCCTCCTCGTCTTCCACGTGCTCCGATCGACGTCACCGACATCGACGGGTTAAATACGTCTACCTCTCTTCTTCTGAATCTACTCCCCCCCGCCGCCGTCGACACCGCACGACGTCCACAATATCCTTCAACCGATACCCCTGCCACCGAAACCGGCTGATCCACCAGTTCTGCCTCCACCTATTGCTCCAGCGATTTTACCTACATCCGCTGTTTCTGTTCCTGTGATCGAGGTCGAACCTCAACCTTGTAAGAGGGTCCATGAGCCCTCTTCTGATGATGACCAGCCTTTTTCGTCTCAACACTCAGGCTCTGACGACGAGCTTCCTCAGCGGCCTCAAGCTGTTCCGTTGCCAGTTGGGGAGACGGTTGAGTCGGATACTGGTGATCCCCATGACTCCTCCCCCTCTGAAGATTTTTCGTCTTATTCTCAAATGTTATCCCGGCTGGCAAAGACCCTTAAACTGCGAGTGGATGAACCTCCACCTCCGGAGGAGGACCTTATTTTTGGAGATATCACCAAGGAGTAGACATGGTCTAGAGGGGCGGGGGAAAAATCAAATAAATAAATAAGATTTTCAAAGAACTATGGGATCATCCTTCATCCTCTATCCCTTTAACGAGGCGTACCGAAAATATGTACAAAATTGTTGGGGATGACACTAAATTTCTCTTGTGGAGACCAGCTGTTCAAAGCCTACTGGACGTTCTCATGTTATCCCTATTAATAAGGAAGGCAAAAAGTTGGAGATGATTGGAAGACGAATCTACTCTCTGATCTCTTTTCTATTGTGGGTCGCTAATTATCAAATGGTAAAACATCCCATCCCTAATTTTCTGATTGTGGAGACCAGCTGCTCAAAGCCTACGGGACGTTCTCATGTTATCCCTACTAATAAGGAAGGCAAAAAGTTGGAGATGATTGGAAGACGAATCTACTCTCTGATCTCTTTTCTATTGTGGGTCGCTAATTATCAAATGGTTCTAGGTGCTTACCAAAAGCAGCTGTGGCTTAAGCTCCTCCCAGGTCTACATCTGCTGCCTGATGATGTGAGACAGGGCTATCTTAACACCTTTGAATAAGCCCAAACGGTATCAAAGCATCAGAGGATCGCTACTCGCCACTCCGTCGAGGCTGCAGCTCGTATCCGTGTCTCCTCTGTTACCTTGCGCAGGCATGCCTGGCTTCGGTCAGCCAGCATCCTTGACGACATAAAGGCTAAAATTGAGGACTTGCCATTCGATGCCTCTGGCCTATTTAGTGAGAAGACAGACAGTCACTTTGAGGAGTTACACAAAGTGAAAAAGACTGCTAAATCTTATTTTATTCAGTCTCAGCCTAAGTTTAACAGATACCAATGGAAAAGATCTTCCAATCAGTT